GCGTTTTCTCCAGGTACTCCAGTTTACTCCCACAGACCAAAAACAGGCACGTTAGACTGATTGGTAACTCTAAATTGTCCCTAGGTGTGAGTGAGAGAATGAATGGGTGCTTGTCTTGTTTGTCTCTTTGTGTCCCTGTGATGGACTGGAGACCTGTCCAGGGTGTTCTCTGCCTCTCACACAGTAACTGCTGGATATGGACACCAGTGACCCCTGCGACCTGCAAAGGAAGATGCAGGTAAAGCTAATGGATGGATGGATGCCCTGACTGTTGGAGTGTGATAGCTCAATTCAGATAATGCTGCTCAGATGCATCTGTCTCAGTCTTGAATTATGCTGCAGATACACTAAGCACATAATATATCAACTAACACATGCATAAGAGCACACTTCATGTATTTAGGTTCTGGTTTGAATTGCAAAAAGGAAACTCCCTAAAATACCTTCTGCATGCCTTGTTCTCATATTTTGTTCACTCTTGAGAAAGAAACATCCACAACAAACATGCAGCTTTATCCTGCTGTTGCTTTCCACAGCTTTCCACTCAGCAGCCACTTTAAATCAGTCGTTCTCAGCTCGTATTTAATCCCTTGCTCTAGGGACCTGGGCTCATTATCGAGCAGGTGGATACACAAGAGCCAAACTCTTGTCAACCTTAAGTCTAAAAAACCCAGGCTGTGTACGTCTTTATCCTCCTGCCAAAGAAACAGCGCGATTCATCATTACTTAGCCAGCAGAGTAATGCCGTTTGCTGTCAAGTGACAAGTGTGGAGCTGGCTGCAGTCCAGTGCATCATACTGGATCCCATTAAAGCGTCCTGTGAACACTGAAGTACAAGACTGGCACATCTAAGGCTACACTCATACATCTGACATGTGACCTCGTCTCCCTGCACAAACAGCTAAACAGCTGAATTAAAAGCACAACTCTCTTTGCTTATAGCTCACCAGTGAGATGTTGCAAAGAACTAAGTGTCTTTGAGGCAAACGGTTCATTTATATGAGAAGGGAATAAACTTCTAAATACATCTGTGTTTAGGATATAAGACCCTTCAAATTAATGTTCACTCGCTAACATATGGAGCAAACGTTCTCTACAAGAACTGCTGGAAATACCATCTGCTGCAAGAAAATAATTAAAAGACATGTAATGTTGTGATCTGGTTTCACCTTCCTTATTGTTGTTTTTCAAACTATTTTGGCTCATGCATCTGTACTAAATATTTACTTTCACTTCACCAATATTAGCTTTGTATTTATGCTTTGTTCTTTGTATGCTCTTTGTATGCTTGGTGTCCAGCAGCATGGCTAATCTGTGCTGCTGCTGATCTCATGCTGCTGATCTCATGCTGCTGATCTCATGCTGCTGTATTCATTCGTGAACATCGATTCACTACAGACTCATGAACGGGCTACTGTTCAATATATCGTATTATTTTACATAATTAATGTTCAGCGTATATCTTAGATCTTTTAACATATTGTTTAGCGTTCATTTAGCGAATATCTTAGTGTATATCTTAGACCTTTTAGCACATTGTTAAGTGTTCGTTTAGAGTATATCTTAGTGTATATCTTGTTCTTATATACAGTTTCTTTTAATACTTTATATTTTTGTTATTTTGGGGTGTAACTGGGACCTTGGTCACACAGTTTTGTTCCACCTCGTGTACCACATGTGATGCTAATGACAATAAAGAACCTTATCAGAGTCAGAGTCAGAGTCAGAGTTTCTTTATTGTCATTCGCACCTCATGTGGTACATGTGGTGGAGCGAAATTATGTACACAGGGTCCCAGTTACATCCAACAATAAAATGTATAAGAAAAACAGTAATAACATCTAAGATATGAACTAAGAAATGCATCAACTAAATATACACTAAGCACTCATAACATAAAACATTGAACATCACCACAAACATGAACATGAGTCTGTGAGCAGATGTGCACGCATGAACACATCAACATTGAAACAGATCAGCAGCAACATGAAACAGATCAGCAGCAACATGATATGGTTTTTCACAGTGATTATTCTAGTTAGATATTCATGAGTCTAACAGCCTCAGGGTAGAAGCTGTTCCTCAGTCTAGTGGTTCTACACTTAATGCTCCTTAACCTCCTTCCTGAGGGGAGTGGGGCAAAAAGTGTGTGTGCTGGGTGGGTGGGGTCCTTCATGATGCAGGTGGCCCTCTTCCTGCATCTGGAGGTGTAGATGTCTGTGATGGTGGGGAGACTGATTCCAACAGATTTCTGTGCAGCCTTCACCACTCTGCAAAGCTTTTCTTTCTGCAGCTGTGCAGCCTCCATGCCACACATTGATGCTCGAGCACAGGATGCTCTCCACTGCACACCTGTAGAAGGAGGTGAGGACTGAGCTTCCCAGACCAGCTCGCCTCAGCCGTCTGAGGAAGTAGAGTCTCTGATGAGCTTTCTTGATCAGGCTGGTGGTGTTGTTGCTCCAGCTGAGGTTGTCATTCATGTGTACACCCAAGTACTTGTAGCTGGAGACCACTTCCACCGCAGATCCTCTTATGTTCAGGGGGGTGTAGGTGTTTTTGTTCCTTCTGAAGTCCACAATCATCTCCTTTGTCTTCTTCACATTGATGTGAAGGTTATTCTCTCTGCACCAGCTCTCCAGGTGTTCCACCTCCTGCCTGTAGCTGGACTCATCATTGTTTGTGATGCATCCCACCACCGCTGTATCATCTGCAAACTTTACAATGTGACAGCCTGGATGGGTAGCTGCACAATCATATGTGAGCAGAGTAAACAGGAGGGGGCTCAACACACATCCCTGAGGAGAGCCAGTGCTGAGGGTTATGGTGGAGGAGGAGAGGTTGTGGATCCTCACTAACTGTGGTCTGTTTGTTAAAAAGTCTAGTACCCAGTTGCAGATGGAGGGGCTTAGTCCTAGTGTGGATAGTTTGTCCATCAGGGTTTGGGGGATCATGGTGTTGAAGGCGGATGTGAAGTCCACAAAGAGCATACGGACGTAAGAGTTTTTCTGCTCCAGGTGGTTGAGCGCAGTGTGGACCACAGAGGAGATTGCATCCTCTGTTGATCGGTTCTCACGGTATGCGTACTGATGAGGGTCCTCGTTGATGTTGATGGTTGTTTTGATGTGAGTCATGACCAGTTTTTCGAAGCATTTAGCGACTATCGGGGTGAGGGCCACTGGCCGATAGTCATTCAGACCAGTCACTGTAGAGCTTTTTGGGACTGGGATGATGGTGGCAGTCTTCAGGCAGGTGGGAACTGTCTCCAGGGTAAGTGAGGTGTTAAAGATGTCTGCCAGCACCTCACAGAGCTGATCAGCACATTCCTTCAACACTTTTCCGGGGATGTTGTCTGGGCCAGTTGCTTTGTGCGGATTAATCCTCCTGAAGGTACTCCTTACTTCTGCCGAGGTCACGCTGAGATGCTCTTCATCCGGTGGTGAGGTGAGTCTGGTGCTGGGTGGTCTGTTCGGGTCTTCAAAGCGTGCATAGAACTTGTTGAGGGCATCAGGCAGAGATGGGTCTTTGGGACATTGTTCACTCCTTCCTTTATAATCTGTTATGCACTTAATGCCCCTCCACATGCTCCGAGGGTCTTGTGAGATGAATTGACCCTCGATCCTCTTTGCATATGTGGCCTTGGCCCTCTTAATACCAGCAACCAGCTCTTTTCTTGTCCTACTCAGCTCCTCTGAGTTTCCAGACCTGAAGGCAGTGTTCCTGGCTTCCAGCAGGGTACGCACCTCTGCATTCAGCCAAGGTTTTCTGTTTGGGTAGCTTTTAACATTTTTGATAGTGGAGACTGTGTCAGTACATGTACTAATGTAACCCAGTACTGAGGATGTGTATTGGTCAAGATCAAGCGAACCTCCATTTTCAGCAGCTTCTCTGAAAACCTGCCAGTCTGTTCGATCAAAACAATCTCTCAGTATGGGTCCACTGTCCTGGCTCCAACATTTAACTTTCTTTTGAACCGGTCTGGAGCGTCTCAGCGGGGGCATGTAAGCAGGAGCCAGGAAGATTGAGATGTGGTCTGACAGTCCTAGGTGGGGGCGGGGTTCGGCTTTGTATGCATCTTTTACGTTCGTGTAAACACGGTCCAGCGTGCGGTCTCCACGTGTTGGAATCGTCACATGCTGATTATAACCAAGTATGCTCCTTTAAAAACTGTTAACAGAACAAACTGGAAAACAAACACACTTAAGTAAAACAAACTAATTCAAAAGTAGTGCTGAGGTACAAATGACTAATGAACAACATTTGTAAGAGTCTCCAGAACATCTCACAGCTTTCAAGGAGATTTTCAGTTTTCTTGTGCAAGTTGCAGACAAGCGCAATCCTGTCACTTGATTTAGATTCTAAAGCTTTGCGTGGCAAACCTTCTCTAAAATTCATCAGAGTTGGTGTTGGAATCTCCCACTGATGTGGTTTTGTCTCAAGCTCATCTCAAGAGCACTAAAGTTGTGTTTTGACATGGGAGCGCTCCTCTGACAGAAACATAAAATGCAAATGGTGATAACTAAAAAACATATCAATGATCAAAAATAGGTTTGAAGAACTGGTCCAAATCTGCTTATCTTCATGTCAAACGTGTTTTCAGCTAATTGAACCACAAAAGTGGGAGTGGTTGCCAAAGTGGTTAGAAATCAGCGTAGAGGTGGTAACAGGTGGACAGAGATGGCAAAATGATGAGCATGGCCAACAATGCAGTTTTACAGAAGTTTGGACCATGTGCACAAAGATAGGCTGTGAGTTAAGAAATTGGCCACTCAAATTGTGGCCGCACAACTCACTGGTTTCTTGGCTGCAAACATTCATAAATCAGTAAGATTGAAAACAGATATTTACCTGCTTGGAGTCATTGTAAGACAACTAGTCTAACAATCATATTCCAGTGAAATACTGGGTGAATTGACCTTGCGTGCCCATTTTATGTTTCTTTTCAAGCTTGGCCTTTTGCCTTGGTGCATATGACTGCATGTGATGGTGTTTTCACTCACCTGAGTTTTCGTCCACCCTCTCCTCCACAGTGTGGTCCTTTTGATGGACCCACTCACTGTTGCACTTAAAGTAAATCTGTGTGGCAGGTGTTGCTTTGCAGTAGAGATTGACAGGCTTATTCTTGACAATGTAGCCTTCCTCTGGTTCGAACAGGAAGTGGGGTAAGGGCTCCGGAGGGTCAGAAGGAAAGGTTTCTGGCAGCTCACTCAGGCTAAGGAAGTCATCATCATCTCTCACTGCAAAAAGAAAGAAAGAAGTATGAATTTCTTTATTTTAGTGTTTTATAACAGTTTGAAAGAAATGTAATGTGAAAGCTAAGAATAGTCATAAACTTTCAGTGTTAGATTATGTTTTTCTTTTCTATCAAGCTTAAAAACTGTGACTTTAATGTTATTTTTAGCATTTTATTTAGTTTTATTGTGTGTTTTAAGTTGAGTTAATAAAAATAAAACTCCCGGGGGGGGGGGGGGGGGGGTATGTAATGTAGAGAGGAATAAACAGAAAAAATGAAATAAGCAGCTAAATCAAAAGTGACTGGCTGTGCAAAGAAAAAATAATTGAAGTACATTAATTCGGTCAAAATTTAGTCTAAAGTGATTTGCCTTTTACAATAAAACACAATACTTTTGTGCAGGAGTTTAGTAATGTGCAGTTCAATAAAGAAATTCACTGAAAACAATATTTATTTTTTTAAATGGGTGATTATTGTTCATGACAGATTTTGGGATGTTTATTTTGCAGTTTAGGCATCGTGGTGATCTGCTTTTCCTCATGACGGCTGCCAGGAGATCTGTGAGAACCTGCATCATTTGAATAGAAGTGAAAGAGTACTGGCATGTTGGGCCTTAAAGCCTAAAATGTTTCTGAACTGAGATAAAACTAAACGTCTTTGACACTTTGTTTTCATCCAAGAGATGGAAGAAAAGTTCAAAATTGCTTTTTTCCCGTATCCCTTTTGTCAACACAAAGCAGGTATGTCAATAAACTTGTGTCAGTGAATGGGACCAGTTCAGGGCCCTGTTTGCTTTCAGGGGGAGCACAAACACTGTATCTTTTTAAGCGATCTGTACAGCAAGATTTGTTAAGATGTATCACATTTTATGAACTGCCTTTAATTATCTGTAACATGGAAATATTAAGTGAAGGAGATTCACTGCTAATAGACACAAAGTAAAGGTGAACACGTGTGAAGCTTGAAGGTTCAGCTGATTCACATCAAACGTGTTGCAACAGACTGGACTCTTTTCCAACAGAAACAACATTCACTTAAACTAATCATAAACATCCAAGCCTGATGAAAAATTATGTAAAATTCACAATTCAGCATTTACTAAAATGCTTAAAACTTATTGCAGTTTGAGTTTTTTTTAAAACAACTGAAATTCACTTTGAAATCGATATGTCTCATTAGCTGTTAAAACAACTTCTTCACTTTTCAAGCTGAAATCATTTCGACTGCAATCTACCACACTAGCTGCTTATAACATAATAATTCACTGTTAAATATCATATAAACTTATTTCATAGTGACAGACAATAAAATGCTAACGTAATTTGAAAAGCACTGTGTTTAATCAAATTTACGTCAATGTGTCTGTGGTAGTTGACTTCCATTTTAAAGCCATGTTGCTAATAATAATTCAAAACAAATAATAATCTGCATTTTAACCACTCAATTAAAATATATATATATTTTGGTGTCAAAACCACATTACGTCTTGTTAGCTCCATAACATGACAGTTCATGAAAGGCTCTGTAGCTATGCATAAAAAAGCCAAATGTTAATCCATCAATAAACTCATAACTGAACTGATTTTTAGAAAGTTTGATTAAAACAGAAAACACAACTTGGTTAATTTAAAATGTCTGATATTTATATCAACTTTAGGGAGGATGATTCAAGTGCTTGTTATTAATTCCAATATGTTTTGAGATAGAAATCAAATGGAATGAGAAATAAACAGTGCAGGAGCTGAATTATCCTCCTCTACCCTGCTTTCTATCTTTTATTCTATTACCACTCCATCCAAACTTTAGGCCTCGCATTAGCTTTAATCAAAGAGACGCCAAGACTGTTTTGACAACAGGTTGCTCAGTTCACCAAATTACAAGAGCAGGTCATATAGGAGGATTTGGCTTTTAATGCTTTATCATCAATAGACTGACATGGGGACAAACACATGGAAATGCACATAAAAGCATGAACCCCAACAAGTTACTACCCTATTTTAAAACTTATTTTACTTTATTATCCAGCTTCATTTAGTTTCTGGACTCTTTCTGGATGCCTCACCTGAAAAAGTGTGACTCGTGAAAGTTTGAATGTTTATTGTCACAGCTTTACGCTCCTCCCCACCCACCCCACCACCGAACTCAAATTTACTGGCTCCAAAACCATGTCCACAAATAGCAACTCATAATACTCATAAATAACTAAAAAGACAGTGCCTCCACACACACATGCACATGAATACACACTTCTACTCCTCTTCCTCGACTGCGCACGCTGTTGTGGTGCTTATCCTGGAGAACTGCCGTGTGCCGTGGGCCGAAGCTAAAAGCAGCTTAGGTAAAACAACAACAAGTCTCAAATAGGAGGAAAAAATGGGTAGGCAGCAACACTTTGATGTCACGAAGATGACATTTTGTCTCTTAGTTCTGTAATTAGTTCTCGGAGAGTATGAACATTGCAAGACGTTTTTACTGCATAATTTCATTATCTGAGGGAAATGTCTCCCCACCTCCATCATGCTTGTGGTTATTTATCCAGTGTCATGTTCAGTCATTTATCCGTCAGTCATGTACTTGCTGCTCTGCCACGTCTGTCACTTTTGCCATTTGTCGCTATTTTATAATTCTCCGCCCCTCTGCTTTTATGTCTGTCCTGCTTTTTACTTTTGCCCAGCACTCATTCTCACCCTCATCTGTCATTCAGGGAGCTGGGGGGTTCATTGCTCCGGAGCGACAGCTATAAATTATTGATTGGCACAAGAAACATGATAGCCATAGAAGGAGGTGGAAGGAGTGCAGAAAATGGGGAGGGGCAAGAGATACATTTTCCTGTAAATAAAAGCTTCCCTTCAGAAATGCCAACTGTTTCTTGTCCTGACTCCATCATCTTTCTTTCCCCAGCCTCCTCACATCAACTCTCACCATCACTCCCTCTTTATCGTTTCTTTTTCCCTGTTCCGTCCACCTTTTGTTTCACCTCACTTTTACCCCACCCTGCACGTCTGCTGACAGAATGATTTACTGATCCCAGCAGCCCAGTTCATAAACATCATACCTGAATGCTGTCATTAGTAATGAATGACTGGTGAAAAACAATGTCCTGGTTTGATTGACGACATCTTGTAAATATGTACTCGGCGTAAAATCACTTAAATCCCCTCTCCCACTCAAGCCTCTCGCCCTGGTAACATCTGAAAACCAGTAGGCTACTAAAAGATTTGAAAATCAGCTGAGAATGATGTTGTCACAAGTGAATAGTTATGTCCGAGTGTCACACATTTTGTGTGTGTGAGAGTATATATATATATATATATATATATATATATATATATATATATATATATA